GTCCATCTTAAGTACCTGGATGAGCGAGCTTTCCTCGGTTTTTTTTGGAAATTATATTTAGATACAAATTACATGCCGATGAAACACGAATAATATTTTTTGATCTTATTGACAAATATAATATTACAAAAGGCAGCTACTGTCAAAATTTCAGATTTCTACGTCAGGTGGATATATATACTAGCTTGCCAGGCAGAAGTTGTTCCTGACCTGTTGTTGTCGACCCTTTGTCATGTCCTATTAAAAATCATTAAATTCGCAAAAAAAAAATTGTGGGTCACTCATGAGCAAAAAACTATCCTAACTAGTTTAGGAGTCCACCGCGGACAAACAACGTGACATGTGTAATTATATATATATATATATATATATATATATATATATATATATATATATGCGCAGAGGTGCATAGTACCTCCCAGGTAGCACCACTCACCCCAGCACCAAATCGGCACTCCTCTGGCGGCCTATTATAATAATTAACTACTTCTTTGCAAATAAACTATATTAAAATGTATAGTATAGTTCAATTGCAAAATAATTAAAACACATGACGCGTGATTGAAAAACTTGTTGAGAGTGAGGGTGACGTAAGTAGGGTGATAGCGATGTAGGAGTAATCAAGTAAAAGGGAGGGAAGCTCTAGTTTTCTATAGAAAGTTTTTATTTTAGGAAAAACTGTTTTAGAAAAAAAATAAGTAAGTAACTTTTTTTCGTTTAAAAACTTCTGTTTACACGTCCCGTTGTAAGCTTACGCCAAGTATTACCGTACTTACGCGCTAGGCATGTGCCTATAGGCTACTGAATTTGCTTTGGTAATGCCCAACGCGACCGGAACTATGAGTTGGTTCATGTTTGCGTCATATACGAGTACATAATATCTGTTCCTTTCCTACGCTGTGTCGCTTTAGTCGCCCACCATAACCCAACCTTAGTCGGCCTAGTCAGCGCCAATGTTTCTCAATCCTTGAGAGATATTCTTACAAATAATATAATTTTTTTCTATTGGGACGATAATATAAAATATAATTTGTTTATCTTATTAAATTTTTATTTTTATTTTAAAAGACCGAATTAGATCCTGTGGTAAATAACTAAGCGATAATAAAAAATATTGATATTTTAAACGTAAGAGAATCCACGACCCAATATCATCCCCTGGGTGTCATAAGAAGCGGCAGAGGAAAATGAAATTGGAGATGGGCAGCAGCATCGTCCTGATAATAAAAACCTACGATCACCAACTAGCAACTATGGTAAATATCCCTAGCATTTATAGCAATGCATTTTGATAGGCAGTAATAAATTAATTAATGTTATACTACTATAAATATATATATATATATATATATATATATATATATATATATATCCTCCAGTCCGAATTTCGGCGGCCTGCCTTAACGGACAATAGCTATCGGCGTAGGACAGGATTATAGTGCCCAAGTGCATGCGCAAGCAAAGATGCACTCTCTATTTCCTCACTCTCATAATCCGTTGGGACGGTAAACCGACACGACCGGAGAGAGATCAGGCGCAGCATCAACGGCTTTACGTGCTTTCCGAGGCACGGGGGTGAGACACCGCCAACTTCCTGACTCCGGGCAGCTACTAAGAATTTCTTGTTACTTATTACCCACTGCCATGAAATAAACATGAATCATTTACTCTTCCAGTGCCATGTTTTATTATGCCCCACTACTACGAAATTATATCTTTTTTATAAATTACCACATTAATTATTATTTATTTATATTAAACACGTACCCTTACCGTTACAGTCTATTAAAGTCCGTGTGCTGACCATAGCTGAACATACCTGTTTTTATATATTATGCTGAATATAGGCCTCCCACATAGATTGCCTCACAGGGGGAGTATTTGCCATAGTTACCACACCTGGAAAGCTGTGACAACCGCAGTTTATTTTTATTTTTAGTCGTTATTATTAAGACCCTACTGCCCATCTCCTGTTTCCCCTCTGGTGCCTCTAATAGCCTTCTAATAATTACACAGTCGTAGCAGCTTTGCAAAAGAGTTACAGCCTGTATAAGTTCCACCGCTAGGAATTGGACCTCTCATTGTTGAAAGAGTTATGGAGCAGTCAATCTACTGCGCTGCTCTGCGTGCGTGTTGGCGTACTGCTCTTATCTCGAAATATTTTTTTATAGGATAGGATGACAAACGAGCACACAGTCCACCTGATGGTAAGTGGTTGCTGTGACCCGTAGACATCTACATCTATCCTCGATTACGATCAAAATGCAGATGCGTTGTCACCCGTGAGGACTAAGATGGAATGCCTCGTTTCCAGTAAAAGGGTCTCCGGTTCTCTACACTCACCATACGAAACACATCTACAGCAGAAAAACAGCAGCAGCTACAGAATACCTGTTTATATAATATGGATATTACTATATCATTCCAAGGGTTGAGAAACACTTGTTTAATAACCGAACTGAAGTGATGATTCATATTTCGTAATGAATGATTTGTTTTGTTCCGAGTTGTGCTTGTGTATCGTTTTTAGTTCAATGAGATCCAGTGTTTCTGCATGTTGTGTAGTTGATTATTTGTTTGTGCCGAGGCAACAACACTGTACGATTTACCACGAAATTATTTGTGTTGTAAAGAAATCATATGTGTACCAAGAAATTGTATGTGTTCTTCAGACTAGGAATTTTTTTGCATATATTTTTAAAACACGTCACCGTTGTAAACTTCGTCAAATCTGTTGTGTGTTTGTGTGTGTGTGTGCGGCTGGGTTTTGATGGGCTTGCTGCATTTGGCAACAGACTGGCTCCGTGCCTAAAGTAATCCTTTGGAAGGATTATGTTGCTTTGTGATTTGAATGTCGCTAAATTTTCTTAAACTACGGTGTTTTTTTATTATACAGAAGTATTTTATTTATATAATTTTTTATACTTTTACACCCACCAAAATTATATGTTAACTACTAACTTTCCTTCTTGACTTTAACTTTATTTTCCTTAAATTTTTTATTGTTGTTTTTTTTTAATTATCAGTATTTTTTTATCTGTATTACATTTAACTAAAACATTGCATAATAAGTGTGTGTGTTGGGTATGGAACTAACAAGTTAAATATTAACTTCTCGAAACAAACATAGAGTTACAAGTTTTAATACGCTTAACCACTTTAACGCTATTTTCAACCGACTTCAAAAAAGGAGTAGCTCGACCGGGGAAGGCCCACGCTCTCACAGAATACCAGCGTAAAATACTAGCTTAATGCTGCTGTGTTTTGTATGGTGAATGTAGAGAACCGGAGACCCTATATACTGGAAACGAGGCGTTCCATCTTAGTACTCACGGGTGACTCATCTGCACAGGGTCACGCATCTGCATTTTGATTCGTAATCAGGGATAGAAGTAGATGTCTATGGGCCACAGCAACCACTTACTATATGGTGGACTGTGTGCTCGTTTGTCACCCTATCCTATAAAAAAATATATTTCATAGACTTCGACTACATTGATGATGTTCTCATGTTATTTATATTGAAGTCGGTTGTACAACATTTTTAAATTTTATCGCTTGTTTTTTTACTTGTGGAAGTATGAAATAGATAAAAAAATATTTTGCATGATAATATTTGATAGAGGTAGTAGAACTTCTTTTGAGCATAAGCCGTCTGGCATCACCGCCTTACCTATATCTGCCGCCAAAGAGCGTTGCTTACACTGCTGTGATCCGGTTTGAAGCGTATAGAGAGACTCTTACAGTTCACTTGATGGTAAGTATGCCATCAGGTTCGTTTGTCACTTTACTCTTAAAAAAATGTGTGACGTAAATCCCTAAAAGACCTCTAAGCATTCAATATTGTTTAAAAAAAATACCTGGCTCAGCGACAGCAGCAGCCGGGGTTTCTGCCCCCCCCCCCCCCGAGGCCGTTGGAGTCATTAATTGGGATCATTTTTGACTAGCGGCCTCGGAATCCTTCCTTAATAATTCATTTTCGTAAATTTCTTAAAAATATAAAATCAGTAAAAACCTTCTAAAGTCTATTTATATTATTTGAAACATAACACGCACTCTACCCCTGGCACCTTAGTCCTCAGAGGTGACAACGCGTTTCCATTTTTATTCTTCGTCGAGGATTAACCCGCTGTATCCACTTATCAGGTGGACTGCGTGCTTGTTGTCATCATTATTCTATATAAAAATTATGATGCAGATTATCTCTTTTTTAGAACAAACTGACTTTCTAACCCAAAATGCCACCAATCGAAACGTCCCCTCAATCTTTACTGCGCTACTGGTGTGATTTGTCGAACCACGGATACCTGTTTCAAGAATGAGTTTACTGGATGCGGGAAAACCACGTTCGCAAAAAATACCACCGTAAAATAGCGGCATACTCGTTTACTGCTGTGTTTTTCATGTTTTGTGACGAGAACGAGTCATTCCATCTTATTTCACACAGACAAGCCACCATTCACTTTGATTGTTAATCGCGAATACTACTTATAATATTTAGTATATTGGTCATAGTATATTACGTGGCAGATCCACGCTGCAGCTATATTATGTTTGTAGCACGAATGGGTCGCCTCGACCGGGGCAGGACCACGCTCTCACAGAATACCAGCGTAAAATAGCAGCGTAATGCTGCTGCGATGTGTATGGTGTGTGTAGAGAACCGGGACCCTTGTTACTGGAATCGAGGCATTTCGTCTTAGTCCTCAGGGTAACCAAAGGGCCACAGCATCCACTTACCATCGGGTGGATTGTGTGCTCGTTTGTCACCTAATGCTATAAAAGTCACTTACACTGTTTACTATGTCTTACTGTACATTATATACTTATTTCTATTTATTTAAATTATGAACTTGTACATTGTTTTTTTTTCAAGATTTAACCAGTACCTGAAGCTTATTAAACTAATACAAAATACTGTTTAGAGAGGCTGACGTTACGAAGTGTATTTAAAAATTATATTTATTTACATGTCGTATAAAATTAATGTGCTATTCCAGGCACAGATTTGGAACAGTACTTGCCAAAGAATTTCGGTCTTCCAGAGAACAGCCCGTTCCTCGAGAAAAGTCCACCGCACACTGCCAAGGTGACACCGAAACCTAAGACGCAGTCTGTCCGGAGCGCTATAACGAAGGTAAATCTAAATGTTTTTAAGGTTCTAAACAGTCTGTGAACAAGAGAAACCATGAGATGGTGTGAAAAGCATTTACTTGCTGTAATCAACACGCTCAGCAAGCGGATTGTCTACCACCGGGTTGTATATTTAAAACTAAATATAGTTGTAATTTATATTTACCACAGACTACCTACCTTTCGCAATAATATGTCCACATAAGTTTTAAACAAAAGTTACAGTCACAGCATATATACGTCCCATCCTGGGCACAGGCCTCCGCTCATTTCTGAGAGGGTTTTAGGGCAAGGAAGTGTCCGCCACGCTGCCACAATGCGTGTTGGCAAACTTCACATGTCTTCGAAATATATTTTTTCTTATTTCTCAGACATGCAGGTTTCCTCACAATGTTTTCCTTCACTGCCGAACACGTGGTATATCAGTGCCGGCGCGGATTGAACCCGGATTGTTCGCGTACTGTAAAATTTACAGCGAGCGCTAACCATCTAAGCTACCACGGCTCAGATAGTTCGGCTTTTTAACAAACTGATGTAAAATATTGTGTTTCATATTAATTATTTCATAGCAGTGTTGTATTTAAAAGGATCCAGGAGTTTTCATGAGGCTGTATCTTAAACATTTTTATAAGATTTTCGGGGTCCAATTTAGACTTATCTGCATATTGTATGAGGGTGATCGGCCTGTATTGGTAAACAAATCCGAAATAACAAGATCGTTATTAGTGTAATTTTTAAGATTAAAAAGAAGTAAATAGCAATAATGTGATTGTAAAATTACTTAACTACGTAAGGTAACGCCATCTTTTCTCGCCGGCGGACTAACTGCTTTATAAACTCAGCAGCTCAGCAGTAGAACGTATATTGGATGTAAATGTGCATATTTTTTACTTATATATAGTTTAACACTTAAGAGGGTAGATTCGCCTTGTTCTAGGCGCTGCACTGCCACGTGTTTCCGTAATTAATACGGTTGTAGGTACCTCAGACGGTTATTTCATGTGGTCATGTGGTTACGGATACCTTTTTATCTTCACAACAAGGAAAATTTGCAAAAAAAAATCTCACCCATATTATTAGTATTTATACCCATAGTACCAATAGTACCAATAGTATCCATAGTATTTGCTAGGCATTATAATATTTTTACAGCGGGACAAACGAGCACACAGTCCACCTGATGGTAGGTAAGTGGTAGTTGTCGCCCATACATAGACATCTATATTCAACTACGAATACGAATCAAGATGCAGATGCGTTATCACCCGTGAGGACTAAGATGGAATGACTAGTTTCTAGAAAAAGGGGTCTCCGGTTCTCTACACTCATCATATGAAACACAGCGGCATCTGTGAGAGCGTGGTCCTTCCCCGATCCAGCCGACCAAACCTGCTACAACTATACCTACTACTAACATAGCTGCAGCATGATTATACCACGTGAAAAATATGTTGTACTGTATATTATTATATGAAATAATTTTAAGTTAATTATTAAGAACATCGCGTGTCAAAATAGACTAATGTTCGCGCATAAATGCTAAAAATTAATCTGATCCAGTAATCTTGCAATGTCACATTGTTGTCAGTAATATGCGACTTATAGAATTAAAATAAAATTGAAATATTTCCCCCGGCTTCTTTAAGGCCATATAAAGGATCACTAGACTGAGTAATACTAACCGTAAGTACATTTTAACACATATATGGAGACTAACTTAACCGTAACATAACGCAAAATTCTTCATCATATTACGTTTTAGAATGCATATTACGTCATATTTATAAACATGACCTATTCATGTTTGAATACATTTTCATTGTCACCTTTGTCTGCTGTTTCTATATTAAGTAATCATGTTTAAGCAATGTTTAAGAAAGAATAAATATGAAATGTCTTAGACATTTATATACAATTATTATGCCTTAAACGTATAAATATTATATAATAAATATTATACGTTAGTGTAGTGGCAATGTAAGCATATCTACGTGTCGTAAGAGGCGACAGAGGACAACTAAAACGATGATAGCAACTCACATAATACAAGTCTGCGGTTGCCAACCCGCCTGCGAAGCGTGGCAACTGTGACTGACAACTATGGCAACAACACGAATGAGACACTCTATGGGGGAGGCCTATGCTTAGCAGTAAACTTTTATAGACTGAAGTAGATGGGTGCACGTTGTTTTTAACAGTCTATTACTTCTCAACACTTGTGTTGTTAATTGTAAACATGATTGTAAGCTATTAATTGAAAAAAAAAATGGTACAGCTGGGTTTCTTGCTGGTTCCTCACAGGACAGAGGTTTTTTTGCGAACCGATGGTAAATGAAAAAATTGACTTTCAATAAGTATTGTTTATAATCTACATTGAATAAAAAAGTTTCTGTTCTGTTTCTCATTTATAATTTTGACAAAATTTTTAGCCTATCAGAGTGTTATAGAAGACATATTTGTTATTAAAAGCCATGTTGGAACCCCTTGTTATATATCCATTGGAAACTTCACTCGTAACACGTAAGAGTCTACAAATACATTTTTCTCCGAGTAGCATGTTCCTTGCAAGAAAATATTTTCAATGCATTAATATTCAATATGACGTTAAGTCTGATACGTGTGTGCGTAGTAAGAAAACAGAAAACCTTGAAACGTTTCGACACAGACGTCTTTTGTGTCGTGCAAACAAACCACATTAGAGTAACACATAATTTTAATGTTAATTTGGTTTCGTCTTTGTTCTTGTTGTACTGCCTTCATGTTAGTGAACTGCCTTCATGTTGATGAAGGCAGTTCTTGTTAAAATAATTATTCAACACGCATTAATGCAAAACAAGGAGTTTCCACAGTTATAGACTCATTATAGGTCATAGACGCTTATGGAGACGAATTGGGAAGCGTATACTATATCCAAATGAAAAGTACATTGAATAAAATAGAATACGTAATTATTGTAATCTACTTGAGTGTAACTTTTTCTGTTATTAAATATTAAGCTGGAAGGTATTGTTATTGCCTCCATGAGTGGCGACTGTAGAATAGAAGACAGCATAGCATATAATATTTTGGATATATCATGTCGTGAAATTTATATTTTGATAACTCTTGGAGTCTAAAAAAAATTCAATTATTTATTTTAACCTCCTTATATCTCCAACACGAGAAACCCTAAGTTGCGTGACGATCTATAACTTATAACACAATTTTTTCACCAAGGTTTTTGAAGTATGTTTTTCCTCCACCCTAACAGCCTATAACAAATCCACTGCCTCGATCATGGGCTTTTCCCGTAGTAGGTAGGATTTGCTCTCATCTGGTGCCTATTGGTCACAGCATCCACTTACCATCCAGGTGGAATGTGTGCTGGTCTGTCACTCATATAAAATAAATTTCCCAGCATAGCAGGCAGATTTTCTTCTGTCATGCACATTAAAACCGGAGACCCTTTTTACTGGAAATGAGGCATTTTATCTCAGTCCTCGGGGGTGACAACCATCTGCATTTTGATTCGTAATTGAGAATAAATGTAATGTCCATCGGCCACTGCATACATTTACCGTCAGTGAATTGTGTGCTCGTTTGTCACCCTTATACTATAAAATAAAAATTTTGCGCATTGTCCTTTTGTTGCCAGTTTCATGTCAGTCAGTTCATACCGGACTGGCGTGAAACTTTACAAGTCGTCAACATTATTGTTCCGTGTCCACAGCCAATGGCCGAGCTGCAGAAGTGTCCGCACTGCGCGCGCGCTTTCGGCGTGCGCGCGTTCGAGCGGCACGTGGAGTGGTGCGCGGATAAGGCCAAGATCCTGCCCGCGGCCGCCGCGCAGCCACCGCCGCACGTGGCCGACGCCAAGCAGCGCCTGCACGCGCGCACGCAGTACAAGGCGCCGCCCGTGCGCGCCAGGCGGTCGGTCGCTAATCGCTATACTACATTCGCACATAATGTACATACATACATAAACACTCACGCCTGCCACTCAGAGAGGTAGGCAGAGACTGCAGACTTCCATTTGGCACGATCCTGACTCACCTCTCTCGCCTCCTTCACGTCCATATACCTACGCATACATGCTATTCGGTTAAGGGTAGGAGTACCCCAAATTTGACCCGTTTTCAATATATCGCCAATTTGGTCAGTAAACTTTCGCCTGGGACATCCCTTTCAGACTCTTCCATTCACTTCTGCAATATAAATTTGCTTTGTCAGTATTTCCTCATTCATTCTTTCCACATGACCAAACCACCGAAGTATTCCTTTCTTAATCCTGGTCATAGCATCATTCTGCAAACCACACTCTTCTTTTATCGCACTGATAAAAGAAGAGTGTGGTTTGCAAGATGATGTGATGAAACACACAAATTTCTCACCCTGTCACTCAGATTCAGCCCTAACATACTCCTTAGCGAGCGCATTACTACTGCATTTATTCTACTCTCGTGCTTCTTCTGCCACATCCAACTTTCACGGCCATACGTTAAAGTAGGGACTAACACAGCATTGTGAATTGCTATACGTGCCCTTTTTGGCACATTCTGACTTTTCGCTATAGAGTGTAGAGCCCCATTTATTTTATTTAATAATATAATTAATATTATTTATTGCTTAAAACAAGTAGTAAGTTGTTACACTATTGTTGGGGACGCTCTTTTAAGTAAATCTACCTGTAGTAGAGGGCCCTGCTCTTCGGTAGTACAATTATATTAGAATTAAATAAGAATAAAGGTATAATTAACGATGTTTACCCGATTGTGTGCAAGAGCGTGTGGTTGTATGCACATTAAGAATGGGATTATAAATGGCGTCTCATTAATTCACTTCTCGCTTTCACACTGCGTCATTTATGCGTTGCGATAAGCGTTATTGTGAAAAATTTTAAATTAAGTTTGAAAAAATTATAATACACTTTTTAACAGATTTTCACGGGAGGGGGGGGGGGATAAAGGATTCAATACTCTTAGTTTGAGTAAAGTTTTAATACACTGATAACAGGTCATCGCAATCTCGAGAGAAGGCATCCAACAGTCGGTCCACGTCGGTGGACTCGTCACGCGGCGTTTCGCCGCCGCGGGAGTTCGGCGACTACAAGCAGGGACGAACTCGGGCATCAGGTAAGCTTTGTTACTTTTCATTTTCGTTCTTGCATTCATTACAGTCGTTTAAGGAATCCACTAGTTTCCCTCTATCGCCTCATACAATACCCACAAGATTACCTATTATCGATTCGTAAATAATTACATTAAATGAGATTTGACTTTACTAATTGGTTATCTATTATTACTACTTAATTTCGTAATTAAATCGTCGTCGTTCGTTTCGTAATTGAACAGTTGAAATCAAGGAACAAGCGTTCGCTTTAGTACGAGAGCAACCGGAGTTAAATTTTAGTTCTCATTTTTCTTTTATAGTATAATTGACTGCTTTTTGGTAAAGACTTTAAAATTTTGCTAGGTAAGGATTAAAAAGTTTTGATACTGAATTACAGAATCTATGTCGAGTAATGACTGTCACGAGGATGCTTCAATGCACGTCCCAGTCATAAGAAATTCGAGAACATCTCAAAACAATTCAGGCGACGCCAACGTGAAAGCACGACAAGCTAGACTTGCTAGAGACCTCAGTAACACTAGGTGGGTTACTCACATGTGTGCTTAGTTATTATTTTATTTGTACCAAGTATTTAGAAGTTAAAGCAAATAAGGGGAAAGGAAGGTATTATATTTTTATTTTGTTTTAATAATAATTTATCGCGAACTTAATTAATGACGCTGAAATCGTTCCTGTCTCCTTGTTTGTTAATGAAATTTATTTTATACTGAAACCCTTCCTTTCCTTTTTCATAGAAACACCCAAGATCCAAAGTTTTCCTCGATCCAACAAAGTAGTACCGATCCTAATGTATCCAAAGTTCTTCAAAGTAAACATAAAAACAAAGTGAACTCTAAGAGAAAACAACAATTGAAGAAACTTGAAGAAATTGCAAATAAATATAACAACAGGCAGGAACAGATCAAAGAAGGAAAAGATAAATCACGTAACAGTATTAATAACAATGTTGAAGGTAAAAGTAATATTCCAGTTCTAAACAAGACCGTCGTGAGTTCGAAAAACAAAACTAAAATGGGGACTATGGTAGGCAAAGCAGAAAAGACCAAGGAAGAACTAAAATCACCTTCTTCACTTAATAAAGCTAAAACAAAAGGACATCCAGTAGCAGTAAAACAACAAAATGAAAATCCTGCTAAGTTCAGAAAACTAAAGTCCGTGACAAAAAACTCTACGACGAAAGAAAACACCATGAGTCTTGATAGCCTCGATGGTGTTAAACATAATAAGAATAACGCCAAAAAATTTCAATCAATTGGTATTAATACAGAACTCCTTTGTCCTTGCGTACCATGCGTAATTTACGACTGTCCGGAACAGAAAAAAATGGAAAAGCTAAAAACAAAATCAAAAGTAAAGGAAATAAGCACGAGCATAAATAAACACAATTCTGTACCTTCAATAGAACTTTTGTATAAAAATCCCAACATAATCAGTTCTAGTGATTTGCAAATCAAACATATTACAGAAACACAATTAAATAGTATTGACATTAATAGTGATATTCATTACGGTTCCTCTTCAATTAATTCAAGTTCGAGTAATAGTTTTCCAAATAAAACTCATTATGATTGTGAAGAAACAAGCGCTAAAGAAGAAAACAGTAAAGTTATTGAAGTGGATGATCAAGAACCACCCAAAGAATTATGTGAAGAAAAGTATGAAGAATTAAATAATCTATCAGCCGAAGAATATGAAGAAAATTATGAACCCGACATAAGTGCCGAAATTTCTAATGATTCTATTGAAAATGATGGTCAGCTCCAAAGTAAAGACATAAGTCGACACGGTAGTGGAGATACTTACACAAAATTCTCCGAATGTCCTGCCGACTTGGAAGAGTTTTATAATTTAACTGATAAAATTATAACCACTAAAATTAAAGAAAAAAAGCTCGATACAGATCTTGATACGCTGCATACACCTAACACAAATTCTATTGAAGTTTTAAACAAAAACGATTCACGCTCTAATTTTTCAGATCTTGGTAAACATCAGTTTTCCGACACGCTAGAAGAATTAAAAAGTGACTTTAAAGAAATACTAAAAGAAACTGATAGTGCTAATGCTGATTATGATTTAGCATCTAAAAATATTAAGACTGTACGTAATATGGAACATATAAGTGTTTTTGAAGTAAATTTTTGTGAAAAAGGACCTGATGAAAACACTCAACATTTGAACGAAGCTCAAAGTGAATTTAAACTGCCATCAATAACGGAAACAAATAATATGATGAAAAGAGATGAAAGTTTAAGAAATACACTGACAAGGGCTAAAATAAGTAGAAAATATAATTTTAATAAACAAAGTCGTAACAATACTGAGTACAAAACTTTTATTGTTCGATATAATCAAGATGACAACAGTGACGTCCACTCTGTTTCTTCAGAAGCACCACCATTGAAACTGCCGAGAATAGAAGTTAAAAGGTTGTTTCCTTTACCTGATTTTTCTTATTCCCGTATTATTCTACATACTATTCTTTCTGTTATAGAAGACATGTTTTTCTATTCGGTAAATTTGTGTCATATCGGGTAGATATAACAGTTGATATATTTTTTTGCATCTTTAACGCTATATAATATGTATGTATTTCTTAAGAATGTTTTAAAATATTTTAATTATTTAATAATAAGCCCTTACAGGTATGTAAAATATGTTTAAATTAATTATAATTTATGTTACAGGCTTGATGACAATTACGATCCTTTCGCGTCTGCCGCTAGGCAAATGAAAGAGCTTATGTCCTCTGAGACCAATATTCCTAAAAAAATTCAAACTATTCCCAAAGACTCAAATAGAACCCTTCCATCCTTACGCCCAACTAAGGAAAAGACATCACCATCGCATCTTACAAACAATACAAAAATGATGAAAGACACACTAAATAAGACCTATCAGAAAACACCAACCTTACAAAGAATGAAATCTTTCGGTAGCACTAATAGTGAAAATAACAATTCATTTGGTGGTAGGTGTAGTTCGTTTAGAATAAACAGAAATGATAAAAAATCTAGTCAAAAGTTGAACACAACTTTCACTAAATCTAGTAAGGAAAACATAAGTTCTACGGAAAAACCCAATTTCACTCGTAATAGTAATTTGAATAGATCTTTCTCAAATTTTTCGTACATTTACAGTACACCTAAATTAAAAGATAAAAGTCCCAAAATAGCTCCATCTATGTATCATAGTTTTCAACGTACAACAATAAAACAACCTTTAAAACTTGATAAGATAAAAAACGACGAGGATAGGAAAAATTTTGTCAACCTTGATTCTATTCTTTCCTACGATAACGCCTCCATGACTGACAGTAATTACATAGACCCTAGATTAATTAATGAAAATGACAACTTACCTATCAACGTTAACACTATATTGAATAACCCTGATATAATAAGTAGTATGGAGTCGTTGCTCACTACCGAAAATCTACCGGCGAAATTCGAATCATTTAACGTTAATAATAAAAACATTAAAAATTCCTTAGCACGAACTGATATAGTAACTAATTACAACAACACTAATAAAAGTAATGTCACGTCCATGAATGAGTTAAATTCTCAATATGACAAATTTATGTCTTCTTTAGAGCAAAGTATAACATCTAAAACATCGAGAGATGATGAATCTCTTTGTGAAGATTTTGATCTCGAAGAATTCATGACTTCTTTCGACGAAGAAGTGACTAAACAAAAAATCGAGAATAAACGTACATACAGCTCCACCACTAGAATAGTAACGCAATCCGAAATATTCGACACGCACAAAAGTTCCGACATTAATGGTAACAGTGACCCTGCGAAAGCTTTAAATAATAATAATGGTATGATACCGGTGAATAAATCAATGTCTCTTGTTTTTAGCAGTAACAATGTTAAGGGCGAAAACCTTTTCCCGTCTTCCGTTAAACGTTCCACATCCCTCCTTGATTCCATTCAGAAGAAAAACACACTGAAAGCGGACACAACGAAGAACCGCCTCAAAGCTGACCAACTTGAACAGGACATAATGCAGTCTCTCAAGGACTTCGACAAATTTTACGAGTCTGAACGAATAGAGAATGACCAGTCTAACAAAGAAATTGTTAATTGTGCTAAAAATATATATAATACAACTAAAAAAGAATCCAGAACGAAAACCGAAAGGAAAAAACAAACAAATAATAAAAACGAACACATGTCAAATGGCCAATTTACACCTAATGGAAAGCCGTGCAACGATTCAGCTTATAGCAGGTTAGTCAGGTAACTATTTTGTAACAAAACAACAATTATGGATTTTGAGGATTTAAGATGTAGGAGTTGGGTACTCGGCCCTGAAATCTTTAAACTTTCTTATACACTTACTACACACACTTTATACGTGGTAAAGCCATGCTGCAGTTATATTAGTAGTATAGTTGTAGCACGAATGGGTCGGCTCGACCGGGGAAGGTCCACGCTCTCACAGAATACCGGCATGAAATAGTAGCTTAATGCTGCTGTGTTTCGTATGGTGAGTGTAGAGAACCAGAGACCCTTTTTACTGGAAACGAGGCATTCCAACTTAGTCCTCACGGTTGACAACGCATCTGCATTTTGCTTTGTATTCGAGGATAGATGTAGATGTCAATGGGCCGCAGCAACCACTTACCATCAGGTGGACTGTGTGCTTGTTTGTCACCCTATCCTATAAAAAAAAACACTGTGCTAAAATATGTAGTATGACATAGACCATGTAGTTCATACCAGTACGCGTTCTTCAAATGCCTTGTAACCTTATATCTAGCTGTAGAATAAGAATAACTTAAAAATATCGATAACAATTTCCAAATACTGTCGGAAATTATAAACTAACAATAAATATTTTAGTGCCACATGTGCATGCAATAACGCAGTCACTCCAATTTTATATTACAATAATATCAACTTTTAAACATATTACATACCTACTATGTAAGGCATGGTGTACTACTAGGGTTGCCAGATAGTCGGGGTTCGTCTAGATTCTCCCGACATTTTAAATGATCACCAGACTCCCGACAAAAATCAAAATCGCCAGACAAACAGCTCGGAAAGTTATCTTATGGCCTTTAATTTAATAAAAGCTGAGTTAGTGATTAGACTGTACTTTGAAGTAAATTATTTGAAGTTTATATCTTAACCTTAAAATTAAGTTTATTTAAATTAGTTTTGTTTAAAGTACTGTTTGTGCCCTTCTATCAAAAAAATAAACGTTATATTTTTAATATTTATTTCCCCTGACAATAACCCCATCCCAACATATTCATAACTTGTCCAGATATTTTGGTCCACCGATCTGGCAAACCTATATAACTATCCCAGCTGTTATTTCTTTATAAAGAACTTGTTTAGTAATTAATCAAATAAAATTATTTATGGAGTAAATATTACAAAGGATTACTAGAATATAAACGTAATTTGCTTTCAGCCTGAACAGAATATCACCTTCAAAACTATCGCTATGTAACTCCAAAGAGTCAAACGGCTTAGTACCCTTAGCACAAGCACACGCCGGCACGGACACGATTTCGAGTCACAAAGACGAAATCAGGTCTATCTCCAGCGAAGAGTTCCTAGCGATGGAGCGCTCAGCTGAACTGAACGAGTCATTGCCTAGAGTTGATGCACAACACAAAGATTTAGGCAGCAGTCACACAATAAACGGTAATTTGTTTCTACATTTTTTTTCCTTAAAATTTTACATACCAACATTGTACCACGATAGTCACATCATGCATTTTTATTTCTATTCATAAACAATATTTTTTGATTTTCGTAGCATTGAATTCGGTTTTTTGTATTGTAGAAAAAAAAAGTTAAATCATTTTAGTATTACGATATTATTATATATATATTACTGGATAAACGCTCTGGATCAGGGATTATTATGATCCAAGTTATAACAGAATCAAGGTATTCAGCAGTGGATAACGATCGCAAGGTATCATCATATTTACTATGCATTTACGTTTTTCTTTTTCAGAAAAACGTGCCAGTTCCCGAGCGTCGTCCCAGCGCAGCCCCACGTGGCGATCGCGCCAAGACCTCAGCTCCAGCAGCTCGGAGAGTTCCCTGCACAGGGCGAAGGAAACCAGCCCGCAGCCGCGACTCTCGCGCTTCTGCCACGAGTGCGGCAACAAGTTCCCCGTCGACACTGCCAAGTTTTGTATCGAGTGCGGTGTGAAGAGATTGGTCGTGTAGAACACGTGTGATGTGGATGTGAGCGTTTTCTAGTCTGTAGCGTCGGTGTGAACGTGAGCTGTGCTGATAGCACAGTACAGGAGTGCAGCACGACGCATCAGCCGTGTGGTCGTGGCTGTCATGTGGTGTTCCCATTATTACGCATGAATTACTTGCTTTAAAGTGACACAATGTTGTGAGTTTTACACATAACGTTATTTAAACATACAATATTTATTTCAGTTTAATTCAAGCAGCAGCTTTAACACTGTCTTTATAACATTGAATCTGAATAAGAATCGTCATAGGTTTTTTTTTAATAATTCTAAAAATCTGTTGTAATTATTTTAAACTGAAGTTAATGACTTATTGTGTGGACCAGTGATCCCTTCTATGATAAATAAACTCCAAATTGTTATACAAAATAAATAGGTTTTAAGAATCATGAATATATGCATAATATGGTTAGTTTATTAAATTCATCTAAATTGTAACACAAGAGGCTTCTTCGAAAAAAGATATGATGTTAAATAAAGTTTGTTGCATAGACTACTACTGTTATTTTACAATGGATTTATCTAAATTTTACGATAATATATGGTATACCATATAATATAGTTTAGAGCCTTTTTTAGGTGTTAATTCATAGAATAACTTAGGTCTGCTTTTGTAATTTCATTTTAGTCGACAGCATCTTGAAAATTATACTGTTATATAACTGTGATATTTGGTCTTTTGGTCAATTACATAATAGAAATGAGAAATTCGTATGTCATCTTAAACTTATAATCCTAATTTAAGTGCCAATCATTTTAGTTTCTAATTGGACTTTTATGTAATTTATATTTTTATTTTTTATTTAGCACTTGTTAACAAGAATATTGTTTTTATTTTATAATTTTAATACCTCAAAATAAATTCCGAATAAGTCTTTTGTCTGCATTATAGTTAGCCATTTTAACAAGACTGATTTAATTTTGGAATATAAATGAACCTAACCTTTACCTATTGTATATGTTTTAATAAAATAACTGTATAATATAATAAATTAACAATTTGTTTTAAATAAAAATCTCCAAATATTTATAAATTAAATTTTTTATTTTACCTTATAATAACATGATAAAAAATTACAAATATAGAAAATTGTTACTATTTAAATTAGTATAAAAAATAATGTTTGGTACCTAGTTGTATAAATAGTTATAACATTTAAAATGAACCATACTGAATAGTTAGTTAGGGTGGGCTTATCGCCGAAGATGTAGGATAAATGTAAGATGTAGGAAGATGTGAGGACTAAAACAAAGGGTCACCGAAACTGTCAACTGCGAGTCACGGCAGGTGTCAAATGATTAAAGCTTCGGTTGAAGATTTGCGCACACATTATTTATTATTCTTTATTGCATTCCTTATTATAAAAAAATACAAAGGGCAAACTTAACGCCATTAGGCACTGTCCAATCAACCCATGGGCTGGTGAAAACGGTTAAACTTAGTTGCGTGCTTCTCTCATATATATTATGATTACACACGCACACACTGACCTCTATATATACAAGCGCATATACGAACGACATTTCTTACAAAAGTCAATTGCTTCAATCAAATTTTTGTCATTCGCCGTCAATGCCAATCATTTTCATTGCATAAAGTAAATGTTCATAGTTCTCATCAAGGAGTGTCATTAATGCACATATTGACAATTGCAATTGACCATTTTGGGAACACTTCAGCATATTTATAAGATGTGAAAAAACACAAAGGATTTCAGGTGATCGATTCTGAGGAAAGAAATGTATTTTTAAGGACATGTCCGCGTCTAAATATTGATATCACTCCAAACTTGAGTTAATGAAAAACAAAAACAAAATTAAAAAGGGACTAAAAGTCGGAAAATCAAAACAAATGAAAGTTGGAAAAGCAGCGTCAAAGGGTTTCAAAGAAAAAAACAGGGTCAAGCAATTTTCAACACCACTACACAACACACACGACATTATATTGGGTGTTTTTTACCGCCTGGAGAAAAATAGGGTGCAACAGGTGAACAGAACGGAATAGAAGCCTATGGCACTGATATTTCACAATTTTATTTTTATTTTACATGGACATATTATGAATTTGATCTACCATTAAATACTACTAATTTGAAATAAACTTTCGATACTAAAAAAAATAACAAGAAATTTTTTGAACTAAATAAAATAGATAAATCGATTAAAAACTATCGAAATTAAAATAATACGTACCCACTTAGTAGTCTTTACTAAAAGATAAATTTCATAATATGTTAATGTAAAATAAAATAAAAAATTGTAAAATATCAGTGCTGAGATGTAAGGAATAGATATAAGCATATTACTTATAAACATATACACAATGTAACCCAATTGTAACTATTTAAAGATTGATGATTGCAAATATATTCAGTATTTACTCAGCAGTCTTGGCATTCATTTCTCTCTCGTGCCACAACATTACAAGTGCCATAGGCTTCTATTCCGTTCACCTGATACATCCTTTTTTTCCAGATGGTAAAAAAACTTATCAATGTTACTAAATAATATATATTACAAAAAACACAAGCAAAATCCTAACCATCAATAACAAATTTCTCTCCAAATTAACTTTCCGACGTTTTTAGTTGAGTTAAACCAAAACTATCAATACCCACCAGTCGGTCCACCTTAGCAATCCCACAAATATGTTGTCTCCAGTTTTAATATAGATGGTTCAGTGAAGTTTGTTAGTATAAAATAATATGTACATAATCAATAACCATAAAGAATAAGTAAACCTAGGATTAACCAGTGCTTTCTGGGTGAAGCCCAAATCTATACTATTATTGTTTAATTATAGAGGGTGCGAATTTTGTGAGTTTGTATTTAAAAAAGAGGGAACCTTTACACCTATTTGAAAAAAAAATCAAATTATATATAAATTATGACTAAAAGTTATTTTGATTAAGTCGGAAAAAGGCGTGTCTCTTGAAAGCTTCCATGGCATGCGCTGCGTAAATATTGAAAGTGGCACGAAAATAATGTATGGCTAAATTGTTCCTCTTGAAAAGTTCTAAAAAAGTCTGCGACAGCATACGTCTATCTGCTAAGGATAATTCGCACTATCCATTTTTATAAAAAACTCGCGCGACAAAATAATTATGGTAGTGGTCAGCGCTGCGGTGACACGGATATCAGCGCGGAAGGAGCTCCGGTATGCTGTGGGGGAGACAATGAACAAGTACTATAATGGAAAGAACACTAGGTGATCAAAAATATATAAATTTGTTGATAATGTGTTGGATACAGAGGACGCTGTGTATTATCGACAGGAATTTCTTAACCCTCAAATTAATTAGTTCTGTTAAATTTGTCAAATATCCGAAAGCACATATCAAGTAATGTAGGTGACATTAGGGTAAGATGGACATTTATATAATTTATTATAAATTATTGAGACTATACCCAAAAAGCACCAAGTAAAACTAAGTTTAATAGTTCTTTGGGCATTACTTGTAATAAATACATGCAAAAGTTAAACTAAATAACAGTTATTTCCAAAGCAATAATATTGTTGACATGGAACTATCAAATATTTCCAAGAAAATTATGTGTGCAAATCAAAGAATTTTTTTTGTATTACCCACAGAGTGGTAAATATGGTAAATTAACATTAGGTAGAGCTGTATCATTAACTTGCATTACAGCAATTAAATTGGTGAAGCACATATTTGGAGATATTATGTAACCACTTAACACTAATACATATGTACAATTGCATTATTAAAATTGTTAAAGCCTAAACATACTCCTATAAGCTTTCCTTGTAGGTATAGCCCCTCTCATTCTTAATCGACGTAAGGCTTCCCTTAGATGTTTCGGCTGTAAAGGTCCAGGTTCACCTGATTTTTCTAGTACTTCAAGAGCTGAAATCAAAAGAGAGTAAAAGTTTATATAGGCTGTCCTAAAATTCAATGTTATCCAGGAAGTGGATAAATTGATGAATACCCAGGGAAAAATAAAAGAAAAATTTGACTTTTACTATTTTTGAATTATTTTAAGTTATAAAAACTTTTTTAAATACTTTAAAATAAGTTAATTTTTTCTTGCAATTTTAGTAAATTTTAACTTTTGATCAACTTTCAGTTGTCACGGTATTAAAAAAATATATCAATAATAACTATTGCAAGTTATTATAAAAGTTAGCACAACTAGTCAACATTCTACAATGGTATAATACTCTAGTGACACTAAGAACAAAAAGTATTCATATTTCTGAACAAGAACCAAATACATTATTAATTATTATCCTTGAAAACATGAATGCCATCAAAAACATAACTTGTAAAAAAACCAAGTCTCGCAACTCAGTTCTTCTACCGTAAAAAGTTGTGAGATCCATGTAATACCAAGTCGGTAAATTTATTCAGTGCCTACTTAAGGATCCTTCTGTTTTAAGTTATTACGTAATTAGCTAACCTAACAACATTTTATAACGACCATATCAATATTAAAAATCTTTTATGTTTTAAATATATAGATTGACTTGACCATCTCATGAAAATATAACATATCTTACAATAAACTGTGCAAGTTTAGGGGGTAATATGTGCAAGTAATACATATTATATTAAAATTACTACGTATTATATTAAAATTAGATTGCTTACTCCACATTTTAAAAAGAATTGTGAGATACTTATGTAACTATCTACGCTCCAGCAACAATAATAATATTTACAACATGATTATACTTGCATGACCGAAAAAATCGAAAATATTTCGAGGGCATGTGAAGTCCACCAATGCATAATATTGGGTAGCGCACCGAATTCTTCTTTAAATTCCTCTCAGAGATAAGGATTATTATAAAGTAAAACATTGAACATTAATTACCTTCTTCAACTACTTCTCCCACAAACACTTTGGCAATACCAGACATTGCAATCACAACATTCTGCCCAACCGAACACCCAGTGATGGTCTGCATCAAGCGTTTTACAGCTGCCTTAGGAAATGCTGCACGTCTGTACATTTCATATCTATCCAACTGTTCTTCAGTGAAATTTGAGACTAATACCCTAAAAAATCCAAAACAAAACATTAGTGATTGTCATATATTATAATATATTACATACACAGTCTGCTATCTGCTTGCTCTACATACAGTACTATTTCTCTGCCCACAAGGGTTTGCAGAAAGTGAAACTTTTATCAGGGTTAAGATATTTTCATCATCATCATCATCATCACAGCCCTTCACAAGTCCACTGCTGAACATAGGCCTCCCCCAAGTAATGCCACAAAGCACGGTCCTGAGCCACCTGCATCCATCGACTTCCTGCATATCTTACCAGGTCGTCACTCCATCTAGTGGGGGGTTGCCCTACACTACGCCTACCAGTACGAGGCTCGTGCCACTCGAGAACCTTTCTTCCCCATCGGTTATCGGTTCTTCGAGCTATATGGCCGGCCCATTGCCACTTCAGCTTACAAATCCGTTGGGCTATGTCGGTCACTCTGGTTTTACTGCGAATATCCTCATTTCTGAGTCTATCACGCAGAGAAACTCCGAGCATAGCCCTCTCCATAGCTCGCTGAGCGACCTTGAGCGTCCTCATACGGCCAGCAGTGAAGGACCATGTCCTCAGATCCGTAAGTCATCACTGGCAACACGCACTGGTTGTACACTTTAGTTTTCAGAGATTGAGGTATACCTGACGAGAAGATGTGTCGTAATTTCCCGAACGCTGCCCAGCCGAGTTGAATCCGTCGATTGACCTCTCGGCCGAAGTTGGACTTACCTAGTCGGACTATTTGTCCCAGGTAAACGTACTCGTCAACAACTTCGAGCATAGTGCTCCCAACAACTACCGGCATAGGTGTGACATGGACATTAAACATGATCTTTGTTTTGTCCATGTTCATCTTAAGACCTATCCGTTGGGAGGCACTATTGAGGTCATTGAGCATAGTGCTTAAGTCCTCCAGCGACCCATTCTTCATTCTGCCATAAGGACTATATCGTCGGCAAATCGAAGGTGAGTGATGTACTCGCCATTGATGTTAATACCGTATCCTTTCCAGTCCAGTAGCTTGAAAACGTCTTCCAAAGCAGCGGTGAAGAGTTTCGGGGATATAACGTCACCCTGTCTTACACCTCTCTGCAGTTGGATAGGTTTCGAGCTCTGGTTCTGTACTCGGATAGCCATCGTAGCCCTACTGTACAAACACTTCAGCACTTCGATATACCGACAGTCAACTTGGCACCGCTGAAGGGACTGCAGCACCGCCCAAATTTCGACGGAATCAAAGGCTTTCTCATAGTCCACATACGCCAGGCAAAGTGGCAAATTGTACTCTTCAGTCTTCTGTACAATCTGCCGCAGGGTATGTATGTGGTCTATGGTACTGAAGCCTTTTCGGAAACCGGCTTGTTCGGGAGGCTGGAAGTCGTCGAGTCTGCGTGCGAGACGATTCGTAATGACTCTCGAAAACAGCACGTAGACGCGGCTCAGAAGGGAAATCGGTCTGTAGTTCTTCAAGAGAGCGTTGTCGCCTTTCTTAAAGAACAATACCACCGCACTTCTGCTCCACGCCTCTGGAGTAGTGCCACCATGGAGGACGGAATTGAAGAGCTTCTGAAGGACTTCAAGTACCGGTGTTCCACCCGCTTTCAGAAGCTCCGCTGTAATTCCATCCTCGCCTGGGGTCCTGCCGTTTTTAAGGTGCTGGAGAGCCATTCTAATCTCGCTTAGACTGACGTCCGGGATATCATCGGAATAGTGTCGGATAAGACTTGCTCTTGGATCGTTACTCACACTTGGGTGTGGCTCCAACGATGATGTGTACAGCTGCCCATAGAACCTCTCAATCACACTCAAAATCTCAGGTAGTCCAGTCGGAAACGATGCTTCCACACTCAGTCTTCAGCCTTGACAGTTGGCTCTTACGGGCAGACAGATCTCTGGCAAAGGCTTTGGAGCCCTGGTTCCGCTCGATCGCTTCTTTAATACGAGCAGTATTAAAGTTGGGTAAGTCTCGCCGCATGCATTTGGAGATCTGTCTGTTCAGTTGCCTGTATGCTGTCAAATCTGTTGACGATTGCAGCCTCATCTCCCGTCTAACAGCCACGAGATTAAGAGTGTGATCGGAGAGTTTTTGTGTTCTTCTGCGGCGGGTCCTGCAGAACTTAGCTCCGACCGCATGGACAGTTTCCACGAGCTTGTCATTCATATCGTCCACTGCATTGCAATCTTGTAGGCACTGAAAGCGGTTGTGTAACTCGAGCTGAAAGTTTTCGGGATTTTGGATTAGAGCACAAGGGGGACGGAGCGTTGACTTCATTAGACGAGACCTCTCCAACTTAACGTTCAGGTTCAGTGTGCCTCTAACCATTCGGTGATCGCTGCCTGTTTTCACCCTTGCGATCACTGAGACATCACTGAACAGTTGGCATCTGGTCGTCATAATGAAGTCAATCTCATTTTTTGTCGAACCGTCGGGGCTCGACCAGGTCCATTTCCTGTGGGGCCGCTTCTGGAAGAAAGAGTTCATCATAAAGAGTCCCTCTTTCTCCATAAAGTCGGCCAGCTGCTGGCCCCTTCGGTTCCGTTGCCCTACTCCAAATTTCCCTAACTTCAGCTCACCGTTTTCTCTTGTGCCTAGTTTTGCGTTGAAGTCTCCCATCAACACCGTGTAGTGGGTTTTGGAGGAATGCATGGCTTTGGAAATATCCTCATACATTTCCTCCACCTCCTCATCGGAATGTGCCGAGGTTGGTGCGTAAGCCTGTATGACCTTCATCGAATACCGTTTGGTGATTCTGAGTATCAGGTACGCGACCCTCGTCGACACACTCCCAATCTTTACAACGTTGTTGACGAGAGACTTGTGGACAATAAATCCGACACCTCCTCGGGACAGATGGTCGCCCTCCCGGTGATAGAACAAGTTGCCGGATTCGAGAATCACCGTGTCCTCCCCCTCTCTTCGGACCTCGGATAATCCTATAATACTCCAGCGCAGCTTGTCTATCTCTTCTTCCAGCTCCAGGATCTTCTCGTCAGTCCTCAGTGTGCGCGCGTTAAATGTTGCCAGGTCGAGTCGTCGTAGGTGGCAACCGAACCTCCACCGGAGATTCTTAAGCACCCCCTGCCCCACCGTTACCATGGTCGCCACCGTAGCCAGGAATAGCGGGGCCGCAGGGGACTGGGGGACGTCTATTTGTGCAACCGCAGTTTTTTTTTTTGCCGTACAGTTGCTGTTATCAGGAAGATGCTGTTGCCCATCTCCTGCCTGTTTCCCTCTGTCGCCTTTTACGACACCCACGGGAAGATATGGGGTAGTGGATATTCTTAACCGCCACTACACGGCATAGATATTTTCTGTACATTTTAATTACATGTTTTAGATTGGTATCATCTTAGTGTGTTTCATATAGGCAACATAAAAAAGCGGCAGCATAATATAAACTGAATTTTCAAGAAGTCACCACCTTGTTGACTAGAAATAACAGTAATGGTAAGGAATTAATAAGTAAAGCTTTGATTTAAAATCTTTTTTTTTTTTTGTATAACAGATCTTCACTTCCTTTAGTAGCGGTGGTGTAGATGATAATGGCAAGCAAAATTAACATACACACATTTTGAAAAGCTCAATAATTCAAGTTATTCTTTAAGAAGAAATTTTATTGATAAGAAAACAACATTCCAAGTGTTTTCTTCTTTCTTAACATCTAAAATCCTCTCCTGTATAATTGACTTATTTAAACTTAGAATTTAGAGGCTTAAAATCCTAAAAGATTTGCCAAAAATCACCGCACTGAAGAAGCATGTTGCTAAGCACAAAGCCAATACTGTATTATTAGTAATGCTGCAGTCCATCAACAGGTTTTGAAACTTTTGTGTTTTGCATTTTTGAATGGAAATACTGCCATTTCTTGGCCACTAGAACCACAGTTATTGACATACTAAAACCAACACTTGCAAAAGAATGTGAGGGTGCACCAGGACTTAGGCATTTTAAGCAAAGTTAGGATCTTCCCCTTCACACCATAAATGAGATAACCACAAATAATGTTTCACAACATCAAATTTATTATAAAAATGTCAAATATTAATTTTAATTACATAATACTTACTGCATTTTTTCTCTCTCTTCTTCTTCCATTTCTTTTTTAGTTTTCTTTTCTCTCTCCCGTTCACTCATCAATAATTCTTCTGTAGTTTGGGCATCGAAATTATTATCACTTTGTAGGAAGTCATTTATGTTGGGCATAACAATATTATCTTTATTGCTTTCAGTTTCATCATACTTTTCTTCAACATTCTCATATTGCTTGTCATTAGATTGTTGAGTTTCAAAAGAATACTCATTGATATAAGGTTCATAATGATCTGTGACATCATGTAATGTATCAGATTGTGAACTCATGAAGTTATTAGAATTCTCAGTATAAATACCACTCCCAAGCTCATCATTGGTGTGTGTTATCTCCACATTACTCAAAGTATCTGCATATGTCTCTGCAAGATCACTTTGTGTTCCCTGAATACTCTCTCCATAATTAACTAATGTAGTATCTAAAATGTTGCAATCAAAATAATTAAAATAATCAAAGGAAAATGTTGTTGACATTATAATACAAAGAGTTGATTAGTTTAAATTAAATTATATATTTTAATTATGTAATTTAATCCCTTAAATAAATAACACATCATCAACATCATCATTACAGTCCTTCATAAATCCACTGCTGAACATATGCCTCCCTGTCTCTGCATTCATCCATCTTCACTAGCATCATTTAAGTTACCTTAAATTATGCTAGTGTACACATACATAGAAGAACAAGAGTAACTAACATAGTCCAGTGGCTCAGTAGGCTGAAGTGGCAATAGATCTACAATATAGCTGGAAGAACTGACAACCAGGGAAGAAACTTCAAGCATGGTAGTCTTGTACTGGTAAGGGCTTGTAGGTAACCCCTACTAAATAGAGGGACAACTAGAAGACACATGCAAGTAGTCTAATTTAAAGGTTTCCAATTCATATGTTTAATAGTTTGAAATAAATAAGTACTAACATTCAGGTTCGTCTTTTAGTAGCTTCTCTTCAATTTCCAATGATATTTCTTGGGAATCTTCTTCGTTACAATCACTATGTTCCAACTCTTGAGCCAACTCTTCTTCTGAAAATATTAAGCGTCATTTAATTTGATTTTAATGATTAAAATTTCTGTAATAGTGTTGTTAAATTTACCTCTCAATCGCTCTGCTTCTAGAAATCCATCGCTGCCAAGATTATCAGCCATTATAAAAAGATCTCTATTTCTATATTAAAAAGCCACTTTTGCACCACAACACATATTTTTTTCAGTAAATAAATAACAGAATCTGTGTATATGAATATGTAATGATTATGTATATGTGCACAGAGTACCTTTGGTATATGTGTTTTAATGGTAGACAGAGAAACCTACTCTGTACTACTGAACTCTGTGGTATATATTTTTTATTTATTAACTGTCTTTACGGCCCTGGGTTCTAGCCTTTCTGAGCCTATTATTTCTTTCAAAATCTTTATTTTATATATTATATGATGACGCGTCACATTGGGAAGTTTTTGGGAGATTTTGACAACAGCTCAACTCAGCGGACTGTTGATGATGACGTCCACTCAAGTTCATGAGGCGCCCAAGCGATCAAATTAACTCGTGATTTATATCAACATCAAAGCACTTGTTTCGTCGTTTTAATAGTTCACACGCAGACACTTAATTAACAAAATCACATCACTTTTATGAATTAAAATCCACTTCAAACCATTATTCAAGTAACAAAACAGCCCGTTGACGGCCAAGTTCCCGCCAAAACTCTGTGGTATATATTTGATCCGTAAACAGAGACACCTATAGACAAATTGACGCCTTCTTTCGCTTTCGCACACGAAAAAAATTGAGCAGTGTGATTGTTTGTCCCTTTCTCCGTGCCGGTTTTTTTGTTTAGCAAACTACACTTTGCTGAACAACTTTGACAGTTCGTAGCGATCTAAGGAGTTTACAAGTTGGTTTAAGTGAGAAAAAAGTGTTTTGTGAGCTTAAGATTGGTGAATCTTGTTCAGTTCAGTTCTTATAATAATTAATTTTTATCTAAATATGTTAAAAAGTCATAAAGGTTATTGTATAACCTAAAACTACGTTATCGTCCTTTCTCACTCGAGGCCACGCTAATCATTAGTATATTGGTTTTTCTGTCTACGAGGGTAAAAAATCGTACATGACAGATCTAGCTTCTGGTGTATGGAGTGTAGAGGTAAGGAGAACAATATCTCATAGGAAAATAGTTGAAAAGGTGTCCATCTGTAAGTAATAAATAACAGTTCAAAAACACTCCACAACAGCGCTGGAGCAGCTATAGGAAACAGCTGGGTGGTTCTTCAAAATAATTTATTTTTATCAAGATTTCAGTTTCTTTTAGAACCTTTATGTAAACCATTTTTAATAAGCTGAATGAAATCTACGCATACTAAAAAAGATTATAATAAGGACGGCACGGGTCTATTTTCATTATTTTAGGCAATATTTTCAATTAATTTCCAAATATTCACGTTGATAGTAATGACACCACATACTGAGGATGACTTTAGCTTGGATCATAATGACGCCATGTTGCAGAGGTGATCTAAAAGGTTTTAATTTTGGTATTCGATAGTAAACACTTGTTTAATCATTTAATAATCGTTTATTCATCAATGTTACTAAATGCAAAAACAAATAAAGGATTCAAAGTATATAAAAACTAAGATTTATATAGATTTATATAGATATGGAACTATGACGCTAGAGTACTTGGACAATTCTTTAACTTTCTTGTCACACTCAAATAACTTAATCATCATGTCTTAGTATATATTCTTTAAAAACTTGCTATTTATAATTATTGAAACATCACAGACAAACATTTAATTCTAATATCTACCAAGAATGACAATAAGCGACCACATATTTAAGTGGTACTCGGATACGGATGCAATGCGTATTCATTGCGGATGCAGATGTCAAGTTGATTAAAAAAAATTAACTAATACTATTTAAATTTTGTCTTAAATCTGAAAATGTCTCAAATGAAAGATTGATTGATGATCTTTCACTTATTCATATATACCTAAAATTAATATCTCTTAAAAATATTGACATCCGCATTTCCGCATCCGAAACACCCCTGATCTACTCATAGAATAGACAATTAATATTAAGTTTCAAGTAGTAGGTACCTACTCACAATTTCAGGATTCAAAGGATTTAAATTAATCGCAAAAAATATAAGGTGTCACATCATCTCATTAAAATGGGTCAATTCTCCCTGAAGTAGAGTCTTATTCGTGACTTCAATAAGAACATTAGAAGTAATCTGAATTTTGTTTTCATTTTTGGATTTGCGCTTAGTATTTGCCAGGGGAACTACACAAAAATCGGAATCATCGTTCTGATTTGTAGCAGACATATTGTTGATATAATCGAAATGCTTACCATGGGAGCAAATTTCACCAGCGTCATATGAGAAGCAACTCATATTTCTCATAGTAATTTTAGGTTTGAATATGTCCCAAAGAACCTGATGCACAGAAAGGGTGCCCCTGAATGGCTTCAGCTGCTCAGGGATCAATATCTCCCTCTGAATTATGTCTTCCTCTGAAACTCTTTTAATTATAATATTTTCTAATCTTGATTCCATGATTTCGTAAAACTGATCGAAATTTCCAACATCTGAACCAAAATGCACCATTTGATTTGCTACTATTTGTATTGTACCACTTACGCCGTCAGGAGCACCCTTCTCGTGGCCCAGCTTCAGAATAATTCCAGGTTATTCTGGTTATATTAGAGTGTTGAGATGAAAATTTACTGATAATATAAAACATATATTTATTACGATATTGTGATGATGGAGAGTCGGATAAGAAATGAACAGTATCCACGAACGGATTAAGTTATATGACTTTCTCAAGAACAGGTAGTAAATGTGCCCAAATTGATGCAGCGTCATGTCGAAGGCAGAAACTAAGAGTACACATTAGTCATCCGAAGGGCTCTTGTCTACATAAATATCCCTCCGGTTTTAGAGCCTTGCGGGATATTTAGAGACGATGGCAAGAGACCCGACGGTATGACTTTGGTCCTTTGAGAGAGAGATAAAGCCCTAGTGTGGGATGCTACTTTCGTTGACACTTTGGCGGCCTCTCATCTCAAGGGAACATCTTTTATAGCCGGAGCGGCATCAGAGGCAGCCGAATTTAGTAAATGGCGCAAATATGAGTCTTTGAGAAATAACTACATATTTGTGCCATTTGCTGTAGAGACTATCGGTCCGTGGGGTCCACGTGCAGTGAAGTTCCTAAAGGAACTGTATCCACGGCTGGTCGTCGCTGCTGGTGATAAGAGGGCTGGTTCTTTCCTCGCTCAAAGGCTTAGTATAGCTATTCAGCGAGGAAACGCAGCCAGCGTTCTTGGCACTATACCACGGGGAGCAGGACTTTTTGACAATTTAAATTTTTTGTGTTATTTTTTTATATTATAGTTTCTTTTTCTATATTGTGTATAATTAGTATTAATTGTAAATAAATAAAATAATATATTTTTAATTATTATTTTTACGTAAGAATTAAAATATCTATTTCAAATTTTAGAGTGAGCTGCAAATCATCAAAATTTTTGTATATTCTTCTAATGTTTTGTGTTGAAATAGTCAAATTATATTTAGAAAAAAAAAGATAACTTTGTAAACTTGGTAACATATAAATTAATGGTAAATATAGATAAAAAGCTTATCAATTGTGTCCTAAAATTTTAGTACATTAAAATAATTCGTTGGAAGACATTTTTGGTCCCTTTTGAAGAACAACCCAGCTACATGAAATGAACTTAGCAGTTACGGTGTGAAGTGTGCTAAACTGCTCAGTAGCTCTATAATCTAAAATAATTTTATTTAGTAAATATAACCTCGAAAAAGTCGACTATCCCACTAATATTTTTCAGCGCGTTCTTTAAAATTTACCCTGTAGCTATAGTGGCGCCACTCTTATTTAACGGTTTTCTACGGACACTTTTTAATACACAGTCTGTACTCCTTACTTCTACACTCCATATTCTGGTGTTATACCTGGCAGCATAGATGAAGGATACTGGCAGTTAGTTTAGCGAACTACACTTTGCTAAACAACTTTGACAGTTCGTAGCGATCTAAGGAGTTTACAAGTTGGTTTAAGTGAGAAGAAAGTGTTTTGTGAGCTTAAGAATGGTGAATCTTGTTCAGTTCAGTTCTTAGAACAATTAAAAATGTTATCTAAATATGTTTAAAAGTCATAAAGATTATTGTATAACCTAAAACTACGTTATCGTCCTTTCTCATTCGAGGCCACGCTAATCATTAGTCTATAGGTTTCCCTGTCTACAGCTTAATTATTATATTTCCATCTCTGGTTTGTATATTCTACCAAAGAGGTACCTATCGCATCTTTACCAATATAGTGTTGCGTTTGGAGCAGTAGCAGGAATACGACTTTGTGATCGAACATCGCAGCGGGAAATCTCATAGCAATGCAGATGCATTGTCAAGAAGACCTTGTCCTCAAGAATGCAAGCGTTGTACTAAGCAAGAGGTGGTATCTGTGAGGATTCTCAGGACAGATCACCTCAGCAACGAGTGGAAGGACAGATTACAACATGCACAGCAGGAAAATCCGGACATCAAGCCGAATGAAAGCCAGTGCTCCCAAGCCCAAGTGGAGCGACGTCTCGGCGATGATTTCAACCACGAAAAGCTATTGGACCCAATGGGATGGCTTGCTGCTTCAGGATAGAGTACTGTGCCGTAAATGGAAAAATGGTCGGGGAGGCAGCTGTCATTTGCAAATGGTTGTCTTTAAAGCTAAAGTACCGGTAGATATTTTTACACACCGGTTGATAGGATACAAAAAGTTCTTAAAAAAATTGTTAGTAATATACTTTACTCATGTGGTTCTATATCATTTTCGTGTTTTAATTGAAAAGCCATGAATTATCGAAATATTTTAAGGGAAGCCATAGATATTTCATCGTTTGGTTCTCTCAGTTATATCGTGTGACAGCGCTAATCCACTCACGTCTTATTTCTGTACATTTCTCCCCTACATTGATAAAGAAGTTTCACTTTAACAAGTGTAAACTCAGCTTTCTTATAAAATGTCATAAACAAGATACTATCTGTTGTCTGCTTTGGGCTTTCAAGCTGTCAAAGTTTTGATAAGAACTTAACCGTCGACGGATTTTGCTCCTATTTTATCGTTTAACTAATAGTTTTAAGTGGATTTTGATACATAAAAGTAATGCTATTTTGTGTATTAAGTGTCTACGCATGTGTACTATTAGAGAAAACGACGAAACAAGTGCATCGAATTGATATAAGCCTCAAGACATTTTGATCGCTTTTCACTTAACACACGTTATGAACTTGAGTGACTATCGTCATCAACAGTCCACTAAGTTGGATCAGCAAATTGTGAAGAAAAAATCTAGAAGACATGACTTAAAACACAAGCATCCAAAGCAAATCTTAATTAAAAAATCCAGCTGTCAATGTCAAGCTGTAGCATTGGCATAGATACGCATAGATAATACAATACTACCAATACTACTACTTTTCTGTGGAAGCTGAGCGATAGAGACTCGTTTGAATGTATTTCGTGGCCTGAACTAAAATATTTTATTGTGCTCCGGTGCGGACAGAGAGTTCCATCATGAGCGCATTAATGAAAGCAGCTGTTTCAAGAAGCCCGGCATCGTTGGTAATTACGAGGCATCCCTTTTCTTAGCAAACATTAGTTATGTAACTCTGTACCTCATATCTTTGACAAAAAAAAATATTATGAAATTCTTACCTTTAATACAAGGTATACATTGCCTTGAATACAGGACATATCCATATATTAAAACCGGTTTTTTTTAATTAGCTCACTGAGTATTATTAGCCTTAGCAATGTAATTATTGGATTCAGGTTAGAGACTATCACTTATAATACTAATAATATTATTTAAAATGAAGCATTAGCAATTTTGTTTGCTAGTAACAATAGTAGTACACATAAGCATCCACAAAATATTTAATTTGTAAGCACTGTATGTTATTACTTATGTATCTTTTTCAGGCCACATATGTGTATAGGAATCTTCATTTGTCTGTTGGGGGTGCGAGACCTGCGAAAGATGAATCTGTTAACACTAACATGTCTAAAGCATATACAGTAGTTGATCATCAACATGATGCATTGGTTATTGGTGCTGGCGGTGCTGGTCTACGGGCAGCTTTTGGTCTTGTACAGGAAGGCTTTAAGACAGCTGTTGTGACTAAACTTTTCCCAACGAGATCACACACTGTTGCTGCCCAGGGTGGAATCAATGCTGCTTTAGGTACTAACATTTGCTATAATTATGTTTTCTAATATCCTTGATTTAAGCTTAGAGAATTGTAATGCTTAGCTCTAAATTGTTACATTTAAACAATGTTTATATCCTAAATCCTTGTGTTTTCTTATATTATTGAAAAATATCTATTTCACCTTGGATTTTAGTCTATTAAATAAGTTATAGAAAATCTGCATTGTGTTCAGTTATTTTTCTTTACAAAGTGTCAAGAACATACTGTGAAAGTACTGCATATGATTTAATATTTATTTTGTAATTTTAGGTAACATGGAAGAAGACAGTTGGCTTTGGCATATGTATGATACTGTAAAGGGTTCTGATTGGCTTGGTGATCAGGTAAGTTGCTGCTGACATTTTTTTCATATTAATGTATCATTCCATGAGTATCATAAAAAGTGAAAAGAGAGACACAAACCAGGGGATGGCCAGCAGTTTAAGGTACGACTTTCCATTGACGTCCATCAAATTGAGGGGGGAGGGAGGGGGAGGTTTAATACCCCGCCCCTTAAAAGGAAAAGTTGCGGCGCCCCCCCCGTTTGGAGGTTTCCCATTTTTAATTCTGAGAAAAGTTTCCTCATTTTTTGGATTAATATTAAGTGTAAAAAACCAGGGGGGCACCTTGGGGGAGGGTGGTACCCCCCTACGGAAGGGGGAACCCCTTTCATCAGAAAAAAAATAGGGGGACTGATTGAGAGGGATTTCTGTGTCTATTTTGAAACTGCAATGTCTATGGCGCTGCAGGAAGAGCAACCTCTTTGCCTTTGCGTAACAAATCACAGGCATCTATCCTCGCCTCCGCAGCTTCGGCTTGTTGGTCACCTTCGGCGACCAGCCTCAGCCGCTCCGGCTCGTCCGATGCCTACGATTTGTTACAGCAGGCGGAGGCTGCTCTCACTACGCGCTTCCGGCTCTATAATAACACTCTAGGGGTAGGACAGACTCGTACCAAGTGGAGTCGGAGTCAACCAATTTGGTTCTTCGACATAAGTTAAACCTATCCTATTTTATTTATATACTTTTAAAATAAAAGAAATCAAATAAAATTCATAACTTATTAATCAATTTTATATACATTTTGTATTGCTTTAATTAATTCTTCGAAAACATCTTTATGTGCTATTTTTATTTTTCTTCGCCAAGAATATTCAATTAGCCAGTCTGTAAAGTTTGCTTTATAACTTTCTCTACCGAACATCACTTTTAAATTTCGCCAGTGGCTTTCTATTCGTTGTTAGTGTGTCCCATCTGGTGCAACAAATTTATTTATAGGGTCGC